TTCCTCATTGGCTTTTTTGCATCCAAACTTTTCTTGTCCAAGGCCATATCTATTTATCATAGGGTTGCATGTTTTAGAATCTTGGGATCATGTCCTGGTGATCTGCTTTCCAAATCAGTTTTGCCGTCTGTGTCTGGAGGAAGGTTCTCCTTGCCATCCCCTTCCTCTACAAGTGACAGTCTCACCTCAAAGTCAGTCATAGTCAGGTTGGAAAAAACTCTTGGGGTAATTGAGTCCAACCATCAACCCAACTCTACAAAGTTCTTCCCTACACCATATCCCCCAACACCACACCTAAACAACTCTTAAACACATTCAGGGATGGTGACTCAGCCATCTCCCTGGGCAGCCTATTCCAATGTCATGATTCTCAGCTGCTTGGGCCTCAAACATTTCACCTCTGGAGTGTATCTCCTCTTACAAGTCTTATGAGGAGAGGCTGAGGGAGCTGGGGTTATTCAGCCTGGAGAAGAGGAGGCTGAGGGGAGACCTTATTGCTCTCTACAACTCCCTGAAAGGAGGGTGTAGAGAGGTGGGGGTTGGTCTCTTCTTTCAAGTCACAGGTGACAGGACGAGAGGAAATGGCCTCAAGTTACGCCAGGGGAGGTTTAGATTGGATATTAGGAAAAATTTCTTCGTGGAAAGGGTTATCAGACATTGGAATGGGCTGCCCAGGGAGGTGGTTGAGGCACCATCCCTGGAGGTGTTCAAAAGACAGGTTGATGTAGTGCTGGGAGGTATGGTTTAGTGATGGTGATGCTTCTTGTTTGTTGTGTGGGTGTCTATTTTTGTCAGTTAGGTTGACGGTTGGACAAGATGATCTTTGAGGTCCCTTCCAACCTAGAAGATTCTGTGATTCTATGTTGTGTTGGCCACTTATTTTAACGGGCACATTTCCTCCTGTTGTTGCAAATCTGCTCTTGGGTGTTGTGATGACCTTTGGGCAGAGGGCTCCTGTTGCAGAAGAGGGTCTCTTCATTACCTCTTCAGCCTCTGGGTCACGGCAGTTCCCATTTCCCTGTCCTGCAGCTGTGCTGACTCTGCAGGGCTAAGAGGAGCAAACCGGAGTAAAATATAGGGGTAAAATAGATATCTTTTTAGTACTTGAAAAGAATAATTTCTTCCTAGATCTGTCTAGTGCCCGATCAAACTGGTGTCTGTTAGAAATATGGATCATAACTCATAAGTGACGGGAGCCGGTGTTCAGGGTCGCCACGTGATGTTTCTGAACACAGGACTCAAACAGGGACAGCTTCCCCCTTCTGCTGCTCTCTCAAGGATGGCCTCTTTTGAAAGAGGAATGGTTGTGCGGGGAGAGCTCATCCCATGGCTGCTCTATCTATCATAATAAAGGTTATTAAAAGCCTACGTGACCGGCCTGCCTATCCCTGCGGAGCGAATCCTCTCCCGCTCGCAAGACAGTCCTGCAAACTCTGCAGTATAAGCTTGATTTTATTAAATATTTGCTTGACCAGAAAGGCAAAGCAGAACAGGGTAAACACGCCGAAAGTAAATGTGAAATGACCTTTGTCCGTCATCTACCCCGACGCCTGCGGCTGCTGCGGCGGGGAGGGCAGCGGGGGGTGAAGGTGATCATACAACAGCTTTGAATTTCTGGCTGCTGTGAGAATTTTGAAATATTTGGGGTGGCATAAAAGTGGTGGATGCTCTGCAAGCCCAGACTTACCCTTTCCACTATCAGATCTAATCAGCCTACAGGTCAAAAGATGACAGGATTTATTCTCTTTATTATTTCCCCAAGTAAATTTTTTTCAGTTCCGCCGGTGTTGGCAGAGCTGCCACATCTTCCTCCCTGCTGGGATCTGCAAACAGTGATTTTTTCCCTTGCCTCCTGCTTGCGCGGGGCCGGCTGTCATCACTTCTGCTCAGCTACTTGCACCCCTGATTTCAGCAAAGTCACTCTGTGAGAGAGGTGACAGGACACTGGCCTGCAGGAGTGGAGCTGGGGTTTGACCAGCTTTGTGAAATTCTGATCTGGGTGTTAAGGAGGGATGGAGGGAGGAGAGACCTGTGTGCCTCAGCCTAGCCACCAGTAATAAGGAGCTTGAATGATGAGACCTGAGCTGGTAGAACTCCACCTCCCACATGCTCAGGGGGATGGAGCACCTCTGCTACGAGGACAGGCTGAGGGAGCTGGGGTTGTTCAGCCTGGAGAAGAGGAGGCTCCGGGGAGACCTAATAGCAGCCTTCCAGTACCTGAAGGGGGCCTACAGGAAGGCTGGGGAGAACCTGTTTAGAAAGGCCTGCAGTGACAGGACGAGGGGCAATGGCTTCAAGCTGGAGGGGAACAGATTTAGACTGGAGATGAGGAGAGGGTTCTTCACTGTGAGGGTGGTGGAGCACTGGAACAGGTTGCCCAGGGAGGTGGTTGAGGCCCCATCCCTGGAGATATTCAAGGAGAGGCTCGACGAGGCCCTGGGCAACCTGGTCTAGTTGGGGGTGTCCCTGCTGACTGCGGGGAGGTCGGACTAGATGACCTTTGGAGGTCCCTTCCGGCCTGGGCAATTCTATGATTCTATGATTCTATGCTTCGTGGGGCCATAAGGGGCCAAAGCTGCTTTTGGAACAGAAGCAGCCATGAAAAGGTGGAGGACCAGGGAGAAGATGGATGCGTTGAGTAGGAAGATGCATGTTCACAGCACAAGGATGGGACTGGGTGATGTGCTCACCGAATTACAGAAGCTTTTGGAAACCCATACTGCTCCCACCACCCTGGTTAAAAACTGGGAGATTTTAAGAGATTGAGTGGTGCAAGGAAACCCCCTTCCCTCTGGAAAGTCACCAAGCTGGTCCCTGGGTTGTTAGTTTTCCTACTTCATGGTCCTTTAGACTTGATTACTGCTAATAGTTAGGCAACCCCTTTCTCCTTAGTCATCTGAGGTGCCCAAGGGGAACTGTATCTCCCTTTAGGACAATGTTTTCTTGGCTTTTTGTGCAGTGGGTGGAGAGCGGTGTTGTGGTGAGAGCCCAGGGGAGGGAGGAGACCTGGTGCTCAGTTTGCTCCGTGCTTGGCTGCGTGCCTGTTGTAGATGTGGCTGTGAAGGTTGGCACACCACAACTCCTACGTCTGTACTCCAAGCTGGACTGGCACGAGGCAGCTTTGATCTGGAAGCCACAGAGAGCCTGTTCAAACAGGCCCATTCTGGACCGAGGTCTCCCTGAAAGGATGTTAATGTCAGACCAGTGCTGGCTTCTTCTTGGCAGACTTCAAGGGTTGCAAAAGAGCTCAGCATCCATCTGGACCTGTCCCTGTAGGCAGGTCCCTGACCTTCTCTAGGCTTCAGTCCTTCATCCAGAAGAGCAGGATAATAATCCTTCTCCTGTCCTGTCTCCTTAGATAGCAAATACGCAGTCAGGTCAAAGTTGGCAGTGCAAACAGCAATATTGCTTGATGTTTCTACCATGAACCTTCTGTGCTGCTCTGGCTTCCAGTGAATTTTTTGTGCCGCACCATGGGGCGTGTGTGTGTGTGTAATGGAGAGTGAAAGGGTGCTGATTTATTATTATTATTATTATGCTGTGTGATTTCTGCTCTTTCCACCAGCATCTTTTCTTTCAGGAGGGCTCCCTTTGTGCTGGTGAGGGTGGTGGAGCACTGGAACAGGTTGCCCATGGAGGTGGTTGAGGCCCCTTCCCTGGAGATATTCAAGGAGAGGCTCGACGAGGCCCTGGGCAACCTGGTCTAGTTGGGGGTGTCCCTGCTGACTGCGGGGAGGTCGGACTAGATGACCTTTGGAGGTCCCTTCCGGCCTGGGCAATTCTATGATTCTATGATTCTATGCTTCGTGGGGCCATAAGGGGCCAAAGCTGCTTTTGGAACAGAAGCAGCCATGAAAAGGTGGAGGACCAGGGAGAAGATGGATGTGTTGAGTAGGAAGATGCATTTTCACGGCACAAGGATGGGACTGGGTGATGTGCTCACCGAATTACAGAAGCTTTTGGAAACCCATACTGCTCCCACCACCCTGGTTAAAAACTGGGAGATTTTAAGAGATTGAGTGGTGCAAGGAAACCCCCTTCCCTCTGGAAAGTCACCAAGCTGGTCCCTGGGTTGTTAGTTTTCCTACTTCATGGTCCTTTAGACTTGATTACTGCTAATAGTTAGGCAACCCCTTTCTCCTTAGTCATCTGAGGTGCCCAAGGGGAACTGTATCTCCCTTTAGGACAATGTTTTCTTGGCTTTTTGTGCAGTGGGTGGAGAGCGGTGTTGTGGTGAGAGCCCAGGGGAGGGAGGAGACCTGGTGCTCAGTTTGCTCCGTGCTTGGCTGCGTGCCTGTTGTAGATGTGGCTGTGAAGGTTGGCACACCACAACTCCTACGTCTGTACTCCAAGCTGGACTGGCACGAGGCAGCTTTGATCTGGAAGCCACAGAGAGCCTGTTCAAACAGGCCCATTCTGGACCGAGGTCTCCCTGAAAGGATGTTAATGTCAGACCAGTGCTGGCTTCTTCCTGGCAGACTTCAAGGGTTGCAAAAGAGCTCAGCATCCATCTGGACCTCTCCCTGTAGGCAGGTCCCTGACCTTCTCTAGGCTTCAGTCCTTCATCCAGAAGAGCAGGATAATAATCCTTCTCCTGTCCTGTCTCCTTAGATAGCAAATACGCAGTCAGGTCAAAGTTGGCAGTGCAAACAGCAATATTGCTTGATGTTTCTACCATGAACCTTCTGTGCTGCTCTGGCTTCCAGTGAATTTTTTGTGCCGCACCATGGGGCGTGTGTGTGTGTGTAATGGAGAGTGAAAGGGTGCTGATTTATTATTATTATTATTATGCTGTGTGATTTCTGCTCTTTCCACCAGCATCTTTTCTTTCAGGAGGGCTCCCTTTGTGCTGGTTTTAAGTAGAGAGCTCAGAGACGAGAAAGGGAGGATTAGCAATTAAATACGCTCTGATGATGGCATGGCTGTGAAGGAGGGAGGAGGAAGGAATACTCCACAGTAATGTACTTTTGTTTTCTTTTCTCTTTGCTTGTAGGGCAAAATCTGCCAGGGAATTGGTGTTTTGAAGACTCTTACAGCTTTTAATCCTCGTTCCCTTGGGAATACAAACCTTTCTAATCATGTCACCGGCCATGTGGAAATGGACTTGCCTGGTTTCTCACCTCCTACTATCCACCACAGTGTCGCCTCTTGGCAGGCAGCAGCCACTCCACCCAAAGAGGCCCTTCATCACTTTCACTGGAGACCAAGCAGAGGGGAACTTCAACCACTTGGTGGTTGACGAAAGGACTGGGCACATTTACTTGGGAGCTGTCAACAGGATCTACAAACTCTCCAGTGACCTGAAGGTCCTGGTGACCCATCAGACTGGTCCTGATGAAGATAATCCCAAATGTTATCCTCCCAGGATAGTCCAAACCTGCAATGAACCCTTGACGCCCACTAACAACATAAACAAAATGCTCCTCATAGACTACAAGGAGAATCGATTGATAGCCTGTGGGAGTCTTTACCAGGGCATCTGCAAGCTTTTGAGGCTGGATGACCTCTTCAAGCTGGGGGAGCCCTTCCACAAGAAGGAGCATTATCTCTCTGGGGTGAATGAGAGTGGCTCTGTTTTTGGAGTCATTGTTTCTTACAGCAACATGGATGACAAGTTGTTCATTGCCACTGCCGTGGACGGCAAACCTGAGTATTTCCCCACTATTTCCAGCAGAAAGCTCACCAAGAACTCCGAGGCAGACGGGATGTTTGCGTATGTCTTTCATGACGAGTTTGTGGCCTCTATGATCAAGATCCCCTCAGACACCTTTACCATCATCCCTGACTTCGACATCTACTACATTTATGGCTTCAGCAGTGGTAACTTTGTCTATTTCCTAACTCTACAGCCTGAGATGATCTCACCACCTGGGTCCACCACGAAGGAGCAGGTTTATACCTCCAAGCTGGTCCGGCTTTGTAAGGAGGACACAGCCTTTAACTCCTATGTTGAGGTGCCCATTGGCTGTGAGAAGAACGGGGTGGAGTACCGGTTGCTCCAGGCAGCCTACTTATCTAAGGCTGGAGCCATCTTAGCGAGGTCTTTGGGTGTTGGCCCCGAGGATGATATCCTGTTCACAGTCTTCTCCAAGGGGCAGAAAAGGAAGATGAAGTCCTTGGATGAGTCTGCTCTTTGCATCTTTGTCCTGAAGAAGATCAACGATCGCATTAAGGACAGACTGCAGTCCTGCTACAGGGGAGAGGGGACATTAGATCTGGCCTGGCTCAAAGTCAAGGACATTCCCTGTAGCAGTGCGGTAAGTGAAGACCCTAAGCCCCCAACCTTGACCTCCTCATGCGCTCACAGATCTTAGGTCAACGATTAGAGCAGGGACCAAGGAACTGAGACTGCCTCGTCCCAGTCCTGGCTCTGCCTGCATCCAAACATGCCACCTAATTTAACCAGTTCATGCCTCAGTTTGCTCACGGAGGAGCTGAGGAAGGTCATCACCTTCTGACCTCCCCAGCCGTGTTATGTTTGCTGCTGAACTAAGCCAATAGGCCTTGAAATCTTTAGGAGGAATTGGCCTGTTGTTGCTGTTATCTCGCTGTTCAATTCATTAGGGGTGGAATCACGCTCCTTGTGCAGTCTTGGCTCAAACCTAAACTGAAATAGGACCTAGATAAAGTCGAAGGCTGGTTTCTGTGTCTACTGGTGTAATTTTATTTCCCTGAGCTGGAGTCAGAGCAGGATTTGTTCAGGAAACTTTGTGAAGTCAGGGCTTTGTTTCTTCTAGGGCTGAGGAGCACTGGTCATTAACCATCAAAGTCCCTCATCTTCCAGTTTCCAGCCAGCTCTGTGCCGTCTCTGTGCTGAAAAATTAAGGCCTGGCTCGAGATCAAGGATTAAATGCTGCGAGATTTAAGGGCAGGATGGGGGAAGAGGCTGGTCTACCTGACCTACAAATGGTCTTAAGAAATTGCCTTAGTTTATTCCGTCGGTTCAGTAAAGTGTCACTGCAGAAGTCTGCATCAACCCCCGCCAGCACGCGGCTGGCTTTGATACCACGCACAGAAATCAGCATTACAGCCAGCACTGCACCCAGGCTGCTGTAATAGCCGCCTCTCCGGGCTTTGATTTCCTGCCTTAATTAGCTCTTTCAAGTGAGAGGCAAGTTCAAGCCTGAGCAAAGGGAATACGGAGAAACGCCAGAGCGCTTTCCTGCCCCATAATCTCCAGGCAGAGTCAGGGCTTGGGATGTGGGATTGCTCCGGCTTTCCTTTCGTACTCACGTCTCCTTTGCTGAGGGATCTCTGCTGCTCTCCCCTTGCAGGACAAGGATGGACCAAGAGGAATGCAGATGGAAATTTCATTGCGGGGAGACTTATCCCGCCTTACTTAGAATCATAGAATCATCTAGGTTGGAAGGGACCTTAAAGATCATCTAGTCCAACCATCAACCTAACTCTGACAAAAAAATAGATAAGAAATAAGCAATAAAAAAACCCCAAACACTAAACCATATTTTTGAACACCTCTAGGGACGGTGCCTCAACCACTTCCTTGGGCAGCCCATTCCAACGCTGGATAACCCTTTCTGTGAAGAAATTCTTCCTAATATCCAATCTAAACCTCCCCTGGTGCATCTTGAGGCCTGCTCTAATTGCCCTTTACACCAGTGCCCACAGCATCGGTGCTTGCCCGTACCCTGCTCTCACGCTCCCACACCGAACGTGTGGAGGGACAAGCCCTTCATTTCAGTTGGGATCTCTTCTGTCCACACCTGTAAAGTTCCCCATGGACTATGGCACAGGGAGAAAGGCTGTGCCCAAATCTGGCTTTGATTTTTTTATTATTTTTTTTTGTTTAGCCTCGAGGCCTCTGCACATTCAAAGAGCTGCCTTTAGGTTTAAGCTGGGAGCTTCCCACTGGAGTTACTTTCCCGGGCAGTTAAGCCTCTCCATGCATTTGCAAATCTGCACTGCTTGTGCTCCGTGCTAATGCTTGCAATGCTGGACCTCAAATCAGGAGGTGTGAAACCTGTCAGTCACCTGGCTTCTGTGGCTTTGGACAGGAGCAAAAAGGAGAACAGGTTTCTTGTGCACCTTGGGGTGAGTCCTTGACCAAGAAGACTGACCTATCAGTTCGGGTCCAGAGGAGTCCACAAAGATGATCAGAGGGCTGAAGCACCTCTGCTATGAAGACAGGCTGAGAGAGTTGGGGTTGTTCAGTCTGGACAAGAGAAGGCTCCAGGGAGACCTTAGAGCCCCTTCCAGTCCCTAAAGGAAGCCTGCAGGAGAGATGGGGAGGGACTCTCGATGAGGGAGTGGAGCAATAGGATGAGGGGCAATGGCTTTAAACTGAAAGTGGGGAGATTTAGATTAAATATCAGGAAGAAATTCTTGGCTGTGAGAGTGGTGAGGCACTGGTCCAGGTTGCCCTGAGAAGCTGTGGCTGCCCCATACCTGGAAGTGTTTAAGGCCAGGCTGGATGGGGCTTTGAGCAACCTGGTCTGGTGGGAGGTGTCCCTGCCCAGGGCAGGGGCATTGGAAATGGGTGATCTTTAAAGTCCCTTCCAACCCAAACCATTCTATAATGGGACTGAATTTGGAGGAACAGGTCTGCAGAGGTTGGGGAGAGGGCAAGGAGCCAGGGACCAGGTGACACAGTGGGGAAAAACTGTTAGAGCACATTTGTGGTTGCATTTCTTTATTGTGAATCAGAGCTGCTAATGCTCCACAGCTGGAGAGAGAGCCTGAAGATCCTTGAAGAAAAAACAGGAGTGTCTGAAAAGTGTTAACTAAGTGGGCTGTCCTCTCCTTAAATGAGTCTACTTAGAGCTGCTGGCAAGCCCTGTCTGAGATCAGCTGTGCTGCCCGAGGGAAGAGGTATTAGTGACTTGGCTGCTGCAAGGGTTGCAGAGTCCAGCTGCTAAGCTTGGAAAAATATTTGATGGTTGGTGAAGTATTTTGGAGCCTGCATATATGTCTGTGAGGGCCTTGTCTCCTCTGCTGATGTCCTGCTTGCCAGCCATCCACCAGCACTGCTGCTCTTGCCTCTTAGTGTATCTGAAGCAGCTCTAAAACCAATTACAAAGCCGTCAGTGAGGTTTTTCCTCTTTTTATGTGGATGCCACATACTTCTCTGCTGGTGCAAATAGAGGCTTAACCTGCCTGCGATGAAGGCTGGACCTGAACTTCAGCTCTGCTGCCGAAATCCTGAGTGTCACCAGATAAAGCTGACGTGAATGGCATGGAGCAGATGGGCAGAGATGAGCTGTGGGAAACCCTCACCGAGCATTGCAGAGAAACACTGTTAGAAGAAATATTCCAGCCCTTCTCTGTGGTATTAACTGTAAGACCATGGATTATGCAGCTGGGCTCACTTCATGTTCTCACATTTTGGTGAGTGGTCGGGTCTGGCCTTTGGAAACAAATATTTTTCTAATAGAACCGTTAACTGTCTCAAAGCGGATCCACATGTTAGGATGCTCCTCTTCCTGCCTTGGTGTAATGCTTGTTCAAGGCCACTTCAGGGCAGGAGAAGTCTCTTGGGGACCATTCCCAGCACATGTCTCCTAACCTGCAATATAAAGCCAAGAGAAGTGGTGGAATCACCATCCCTGGAGGTATTTAGAAGATGGGTAGATGTGATGCTGAGGGACATGGGTTAGTGATGGTTTTTGTCAGCGTTAGGTTGATGGTTGGACTTGATGATCTGAAAGGTCCCTTCCAAGCCAGACAACTCTATGATTCTATAACAACTACATGGATGTGGGGGGAACGGTCCACTTGGATGGAATAGTACAGAGCAAAGTCTGCAGCTTCTCTGGTCAGGCAGCTTTGCTGGTGCAGCTGGAGTTTGGAAAGCTGAGGTCAGGTAGGACCTGGCAGCAAGCTGGGCTGGTGTCCAGGCTTCCAGCCTGGTCTCCTGGTCAGCATGTGGCTGGAGGCATTGGGTCTCCAGATGTCCTAAAGACTTGTCCTGGTTTGGTTTGCTAACCCAATGTGAAGACAAAGGCCTGAGACACAACTGTATAATGAGCCTGTGCCTCTGTTGTTCCAAACACACGTGTGTACAGCAGATTTCAGCAGCTCGATAGAAGAATTTCCAGAATGGCAAATATAAAAGAGCAGAGCTGAATAGATCAATGTGCATTCCTCCCCCGTCCCCGTGTTATAGGTGTCCTATTAGTCTTCAGCGTAAATCAGGAAAAAATGATGGATTTTTATGTCTGGGCAGTTGATTTGCAAGTTGGTGATGTTCACTCAGGTGATGAACGGTTCTAGGTAATACCTTTCTGGTTTCCCTCGCTGCAAATACAGGATAATAGCTTATATTTAAATCGTACACTTGACCCCAGATGCTTAGAAATTCATATAATCAGAGAAAAATGAAGCTGGTTAAAAAAAAAATGAGTCTTACGAGGTCGTCTGATTTGCCCTTCTGCCCTACTTATAACATTTCTGACAGATGTTTGCCTCACCTGTTCTTAACCTCCAGCGATGGAGATTCCTCCCTCTCCCTACATGATCTGTCTTTGCTGCTAGGAAGCTTTCCCTCGTGTCTAATCTAAATCCCCTTTCCTGATACTGAAGGCATTCCTACTTAAACAGCCACAGGGAGCAACTTCAGCCCCTTTGGCTACCGAGCAAGGGCATTGTGTGTCACCAAAACGCGACCACTTCTGTGGTGCACCAACGTACGGAGCAGAGGGAGCGAGGCTGTATGGACTTGCTGGGTGTTGGCAGAAAGAAGGGCTGTTCTGGAGGGTTAAAAATAAGCTTTTTAAACCAGAAAACAGCATTCAAGTTGGATAAAGAAGGTCGTGGTTTAAAAGTGCTTTGTAAACTTTGTGATTAACTGTTGATGCAGTTGGGAAATGCTCGATTTCTTTAAAAAAAGAGGCAGTTTGGGAAGAGGATGAAGATGTAAATGGGCCATTTTGGTACAGGACTTGATCACAGGGGCATTTGTTGATTCTTATTAAATAAGCTTTTTAAACCAGAAAACAGCATTCAAGTTGGATAAAGAAGGTCGTGGTTTAAAAGTGCTTTGTAAACTTTGTGATTAACTGTTGATGCAGTTGGGAAATGCTCGCGTGTCTAATCTAAATCCCCTTTCCTGATACCAAAGGCATTCCTACTTAAACAGCCACAGAGAGCAACTTCATCCCCTTTGGCTACCGAGCAAGGGCATCGTGTGTCACCAAAACGTGACCACTTCTGTGGTGCATCAACGTACGGAGCAGAGGGAGCGAGGCTGTATGGACTTGCTGGGTGTTGGCAGAAAGAAGGGCTGTTCTGGAGGGTTAAA